CTGCCACAGTATCTTAGCGGACGCCTGGCCAGTAGGGACGGCATCTTGCAGCACCACCTTGGCCTCCTGCAGCCCGATGTTGCCTTCCTCCGCCCTCACCCACCCACCACCGACGCCCACCTCCGCTATCCCTGAAGGCTCCGACACCCCGTGGGCGTTGTGGGCGCGGACTGTCACCCCGTAGGTGTTGGCAGCGTCTAGGGGCGCCAGGGTGAAGGAGGTGTGGGGCGTGTGGGCGGTGGCCACCTTCCAGGCTGCCCCTGTGCTGCTGTAGTACTCCAGGGTGTAGCCTGTGACGGGCGAGGCTCCCTGTCTCCCCGGGGCCGCCCACTCCACCACGGCGGCCGTACCGTTACTGGCACGGACGGTCGGGGTGGCTGGGGCCGTGGCGCCGTGTCTGGGTCAGGGGCACGGACAAACACCACGTCGGGATCGGCGGCGGAGGCGACGGTGAGGGTAGCCCTGGCCTCCGTCACCCCCCTACTGGAGGAGGCCACACAGGCGTACTGGCCACCGTCGTCTACTGTTAACTCTGTACACCAGGAGACACAGCCAGGGTAACACACAGTTATCTACACTAGGCAGCAAGGTTCATGTTAATATGAGAGGTTAATATATGATCAGGGGTCAATAACACACAAAGGGGAAGGGGGCTGGGGTGAGGGGAGGGAGGGGGGAGGAGGGAGGGTCACAGCTCACCGTCAATAGTAAGAGTTGTGTCAGGCAGGAGCGTCCTTCTGGAGGTGGAGGTCACGAGGCGGCCATTGTGTCGCCAGGTCACGGTGGGAGGCGGTGACCCCCACACCCTACAGGTCATAGCCGCGTGACCTCTCAACGGCAGCGTCTGATTGGTCGGCGCCACGGAGATGATTGGCGGGGGCAGTAAATGGGCGGGGCGAACCCTGACCCCCACACGAGTCATGACCCCGCCCGCGCTGTTGACCCCACCACACACATACCGCCCAGAGTGGTGGTGGGCGGCGCGAGTCACAGAGTATGTCAGTTTCACGCCCTCTAGCCTCCTCCCGCCCACGCCCGCGTCCATGGGCACACGGGCGGCGGGCAGTATGGTCTGAGAGCCCTCCCTCGTCCAGTACACCAGGGGCACTGGTAGCTCTGTACAGCACACATCAACAGGAGTGGGGCGCCCTCCTCCACTTCCACGTCCCCTGGCACCTCCACCACCCGGGGCGCCGCTGTACAACACACACACAGTCAGTATAACCACACAGTATACCTACACACTCTCTGTCAGTATTCCTACACAGTATATTAATTAGTATCATCGCTCAGTATACTTACACAGTATACCTACACAGTTCAGTATATCATTACTCACAATAATTCGCTACATTAAATAATAACTCCTACATATAATAATTCCCTACAATTATATTTAACTGATAATTTACAGACTTACGATAATTTCCAAGATAACTTTGAGTGATCATTATGCAGATTATCTTTACCTTAATTCACACCTCACCTGAGTTCCCGCTAAGACTAATTAATGAGGCCATTACTCCGGGTGAAACACTTAGGGTGTGAAAAATACCTTCTCAAACACCTGCCCGAGAGTGACTTTAATCATTCTAAAGGGGTTAAACCATGCGTCATTCTTAAGAGGTTAAACCATCATTCTTAAGGGGTTAAACCATGCATCATTCTTAAGAGGTTAAACCATCATTATTAAGGGGCTAAACAATCATTCTAAAGGGATTAAACCAGCGTCCTTAAAAAGTTAAACCAGTATACTTTGAAAGTTAAACCATCCTACTCAGACAGTTAAACCACTAACATCACTCACCCCCGCTAAATAAAACAGTTAAACCATCCTACTCAAACAGTTAAACCACTGACATCACTCACCCCCGCTAAATAAAACAGTTAAACCACTCACTTAAAACAGTCAGAGAAGCGTTGGCAGTAATTTCCGCTGCTCTGTTAGTCGCCTTACATAGATAAACACCCGCATCTTCAGGCCGCAAAGGAGATACCCGCAGCCCACGGTCCCGCATTACCCGCATGCGACCTGCAGGTATCCGCCCACCTACCCGCCTCCAAGTGATGTTTGGGGAGGGTCGCCACCCACACGACAGCTTAACTCCGCCTTCGCCCCCGCCACGCCCACGACATCACGGGGAGACTTGACCCAGAATGGTGCCACTGTGGGGAGGTAAATGGTTACTATTTAGCTTCTGGGGAAAAATTTATTGGGTTTTAGGGGATTTTTTTAGGGAAATTTTAGGGGTTTTAGGTAAATTTTAGTTTTTTAGGGAATTTTTGGCTTTTTAGGGAAATTTTAGGGTTTTTATGAGAATTTTAGAGGTTTTAAAGGTTTTAGGAGGTTTATGTGGTTTTAAGGGATTTTTAGGGGTGTGGGGGGGTTGAAGGGATTATAGAGGTTTAATGGGTTTTAGGGTTTTTAGGGTTAAGGGGGAGTTAGATACCTAAATTTAAGGGATTTAAAGTATTTAGGTAACTATAGCTCATTGTATATCGATATGAGAGAGAGAGAGAGAGGGGGGGGGGGGGGCCAATCTGAACTTGTTCGTGTCTCCTTACTCAAAAGTTAAAGACCCGTGGAGAGATTACTAGTGACCTGCGATATGGTGTCTCTCTCTCTCTCTCTCTCTCTCTCTCTCTCTCTCTCTCTCTCTCTCTCTCTCTCTCTCACTCTCACCCCTAATGTTGAAAATGACGACAGTTCATCACTCTCCCTCACCCCTCCACCCTCACCCCTCACCACCTATGACGTCGAGGATGGCAGACGGTGAGCTTTTTGCCTGCCGGGTTGGTGGCGTGGCAGACATACTCCCCTCATCTGTCTGGAGAACTTCCTTGATACTCAGTGTGCCATCTTCCCGTAGCTGTACCCTGTGGGAGATGGGGAATTAGTGGGGTGATAGGGGTGGTTAGTGGGGTGATGGGGAGAGGGGGTGGTTAGTGGGGTGATGGGGAGAGAGGGTGGTTAGTTGGGTGATGGGGAGAGGGGTGGTTAGTTGGGTGATGGGAGAGGGAGTTTAGTGGGGTGATGGGAAGTGGGGAGATTAGTGAGGTGCTGGGGATAGAGAGAGAGGAGGGAGGTTAGCAGATGAGTATAGACAGATAAAGATTAACAGACAGACAGAGAGACAGACAGACAGACAGGTTGACAGACAGACAGACAGACAGACAGACAGACAGACAGACAGACAGACAGGTTGACAGACAGACAGACAGACAGACAGACAGACAGGTTGACAGACAGACAGACAGACAGGCAGACAGACAGACAGACAGACAGACAGACAGACAGGTTGACAGACAGACAGACAGACAGACAGACAGACAGACAGCAGACAGACAGGTTGACAGTAACATACACAGGTTTATGAACAAATCAACATAATTATCTTTCAATAAAACTAAAAGAAAAAACCTGATGAACCAACAAGAGAGATTCGCCTTATAAACCAAACTACCCAAGAAAATGAAAAATAAACCCAACATAACAAATTAAACCATTAAATCTACATAGATATGACCCAGAATTGAAAGAAGGAAGCGTTTTAATATTTCGGTGTTTTAATTCAACTAACAAGTCGAATAATACGTCTTTATAAGCTAAACCACGTACCATATATACCTACAGGCATGAGGACGGACGTGGTTTAATGGTTTAACGCCCACAAACAAGACTAATAATACGTCTTTATAAGCTAAACCAAATCGGTGGGTTTTTTTTCTGTGTCGTTGGGAGGCCTCAAGGCGCTCCTCTCTCCAGCACTGGATGGATGGGAACCAACCGCTGATAAATAATACATGAGCTGCTGGAAAATTTCTCCCTCCCCGCCTCGACCCACCAAGACCCTACCTGGTATTTTTCTTTTTTATTATTTTCAAGAGAATTTCGTTAAATCTTACACATACAGAAAAAAAGAAGTGTTTACAGTGTTGTTTGATGTTATTGTGGTATGTTATATGTTTTGAGAAAAGTATTTAAAGAGATATTATCGTAATCGTCTTTCCAGGTTGGTTGTGTTACTAAGGAGGATGTGAACTATTGGCGTAAATATGTCACGGTCACTTTGTTAATAAAATATTTTCAGTTCATAATCTCGACTTATTTGAGAGCTTCATGAAATAATTATCCATCATCTGTGTATAATTTTCCCCCAATACGATAAACCAAACATCAATATTCATTATAAATCACAAATAAGATAAATAAAGATATAAAGTGTCCGTAAGAAGATGAAATATGGCTTACGTAACCCTTATGTAAACAAACAGTCCCTCAGAGACTGTTGGGTCGCGCTACTCGATCTAAGAGACCACAGGCGTAAAGGGAAAACATTTATATATAGGTTATATTTTATTTTTATTTATTACGATATATGTGCAAAACTTTATTCTAACTTTATATAGAATTATTATAAATATAGACTCAGCTTATTGTGATGGTTGTACGTGTTGTCTGTCTGTCTGTCTGTCTGTCTGTCTGTCTGTCTCTTATCACGTAACTCTTCTTGTCTCTCTCCTGCCTTCCCTTACGACGCAATTTCTCTTCTTTCTTTCTCTCTCTCACTTTCTCTCTTTCTACCCACTTTTCTTACGTTCTCTATATATTTTCTTTTTTCTACTCTGTCTGCCTCTGTCTCCTCTCTCCCTCTCACCCTCCCTCCCTTTCACCCCTCTCTCCCTCCCTCCCTCCCTCTCACCCCTCTCACTCCCTCTCACTCGTCACGTCCACCCAGGGCCAGGGTAAGAAGGACTCACTGAATAATTGATCAACAACTCAACTCCTACAGTCTGACAAGCTTTCTTCACTATCCTCACCATCATCATCACTATCCTCACCATCATCATCATTATCCTCACCATCATCATCACTATCCTCACCATCATCACACTTCCTTTTTCCTCTCATCATATCACTATCCTCACCATCATCATCACTATCCTCACCATCATCATCACTATCCTCACCATCATCATCACTATCCTCACCATCATTATCCTCATTATATTCACCATCATTACATTTAGTATCTTCAACGACACACACACACACACACACACACACACACACACACATCTCCCCCTTCCACTATCCAACACACACAATCATAATTGTAATTGGTTTGCCGCTTGACTAACCAGCCAATAGGAGCTGGCCTTCAACTTAACCCCCCCTTTACACGACTAAGGCAGCCACTATTGGTCAATTCAGCTTTTTTTCCCCTCACTACATATCATTGACATCAGTGACGTCATCAATTTACGTCAGCTGGATGTAAATTTGTTAAAAATGGTGTGAATTATTTTTCTGGGGGTAAATTGTAAATATAATTATAGTTTACAGTTACTGAAGCTTGTGTAAAATGGATCAAAGGGTTGCCAGTTACCCTTGGTGGTCAATACAATTTCGACATCAACTATTTCCCCTTGGATCAAACAACTGTAGAGACATACCGAGGGGAGAGGGGAGAGGAGAGGGGAGAGGGGAGGGAAGAAGAAGAGAGAGAGAGAGAGAGAGAGAGAGTATATCACCATAATCTACATACAGTAAAGGCCCAGCGTCTTGGTAGAAGTTGACAAGAGAATTGGGAATTAGCTCCTCAACCTAACCTAACCTAACCTAACCTAACCTAACCTAAGCCTAAACCAGGAATTCTCTTTAATTTTCCGGTATTTCCACTCTTTTGTTCTCCCCTCACATGTTGTTAATGGTAATTCCCCTCATATGTTTCTAAGGGTGATTTTTCCCCTTATTTCCCTCACCATGTTATTCTAAGGGTGAGTTTCCTTCTTGTTTCCCCTTCCATATGTTTCTAAGGGTGATTTTCCCCTCTGACATTTCAAAGAGCAATTTTTTATCCCTTTAAAAGTTTCTAAGGGTAATTATCTCACCCTTTTTTCCCCCTCAGATATTTGTAATTGTGATTTCCACCCCTTACTTTCCCCTTAGATGTGACCTATGGTGATTTCCGCTGTTTCACCCTCCTTTTTAAATGTCTCTAAGGGGTGAGGGGAAAGTTTGAGGGAAACATCTTTAACAGGTCAATCTATCTCTCTGTACACGTTTTCCCCTCACCTCTCTCACTCTCACTTCCCTCACTTCTCAATCTCTCTCACTCCTTTCTCTCTCTCTCTCTCTCTCTCTCTCTCCCCTCTTTCCCTCTTCAAATATCTGGAGGCTATGAGAGCTGATCCCACAGTGCCCAGAGGGGAGGAGGGAGAGGAGAGGAGAGGGGTGAGAGGAAAGAGGAGGACAAGGTAGGGAGGGAGAGGGGTGGGGGAAGATGAAGAGGAAGGAAATACCGAGGTTAATAGGAAGAGAGAGAGAGAGAAGAGAGAGAGAGTAGGTCAAAGTTAATAATTAACCAATAGTTTGACCTTAGGGAAAGTTGACCTTGTTTGACCCCAGCTTATAATAGGTCATGGTCCCCCTCTCCCCAGATGACAAAACACATATATGACAAAGGTATTAATTAAGTAACGGAATGGTGGCGTCTAATTGGTTAATTCTCTAACCAATGAGAGACGAGCTACAGTCAAAACAACATGACGTACGAAAGCGGAAAAAATATGATAATCTATTGTAAATTACGTGATTTGCGCCTCTAATTGGTTAACGAATCAGCCAATCAGATGCCGTCGCTCAGATGGTCAATACCTGTTTGTGTTAAATGAATTATGACAACAGGGTACCAGTTTAGCTCTGACGTCACAGAGGAGAGAGAGATAACCTTGACCTTACTAAAACAATGTCAAAATGTCAGGTCAAACATAAACTGACTTGTTCAATACCTGTTGTGTTACGGATGATGACAACAGCCTACCAATTAACGTCCTAACCATACCTAACCTAACCTAACCTGACCTAATCTGACATCAGATTAGTCGTGTGGTCATTAAACTCGTTAACAATGATCAAGGACTAATGACCTTTCGTGACCTGGATATAGAAGGGAGGAGCTACATCAGGGTCACATGGAGGAGAAAACCCCCTTTAATGGTTGATAAGGGGATGTTTAGGGGTTAAGGGGGTAGAAGGAGTAACTAAGGGAAGGTCATGGAGAGAGAGAGACACCCTCCTCTCTCTCTCCCTCTCTTTCTCTCCCCCCTCTATTACCCTTCTCTCTCTTCCTCCCTCACTCTCCCCACACCCTCCTTCTCCAACCTTCTACCCTCTCTCCTTTCCTCTCCTCACCCCCCACTCACTCTCCCCACGCCCTTCCCTCTCCCCTCACCTGTTGGCCTTGGCACTGGGAGTCAATATGGCAACCATCTCTACCCTCCCTCCTCCCTCCTACCTCCCTCTCTATATCTTCCCTCTCCCTCTCTCCCTCCCTCTCCCCCCACTCACCTGTTGGCCTCAGCATTGGGGGTAAATAGGGTATCTATCTCTTTCCTCCTCTCTTCTTCCCTCTCTCCCTCCCTACATCATCCCACTCATTTTCTTTCCTTCCCTCAATCGCCCTTCATCCCTTCCCTCTCCAACCTCCCTCCATTCATCGTCCTAACCCCTCCCACTCCAATCCTTCCTCTCTCCCTCCCCTCTCTCTCCCTCCCTCCCCTCCCTCTCCCTTCTCCCCACTCACCTGTCAGCCTCGGCGTCTGGGTCAAGGTGTCCATCTCTCGTCCAGGACAGCTGTGGGGCAGGTGACCTCGAGGGGACACGGATCTCGGCTCTCTCCCGACGCCACAGCCACGTCCTGAGGCACCGTCTTGGACACCTCCGCAGCACTGAGGAAAAAATCATACATGTTAGGGAATTTCTTGGGAATGGTGGGGAAAAAAGAAAAATATTATGAATAGGCTGGAAAGACATCACTCGTTTACTTCACTATCATTACCAACAACAAAAAAATCACATAATTACTAAATACTTATAAAAATACTTAATTACATACTGTATACACTTAATATGGCAACGCTGATAGATGCTGGATACTCCTACACTCCTTAAAAGAGTCCTATAGTCCTTCCATTACCTCGAAGGATAAAAAAAATGCCGGAAATATCATAGACTTTTCAATTACGTCCATGTGTGGCCCGTGTGTACACAGTGAATTAGATTGTGTACATAAGACAGGCTATGTACACATGGTGAGTTGCCAATTAGCCGGTAATTGGAGGACGATTTTTCGATCGTTGCCGAGAGAGCATTTTGTCATGTGGAGCCTGTCTTAATGGTCTTAGTGGTCAGGGGGTCTTAGTGGTCAGGGGGTCTTAGTGGTCAGGGGTCTTTATGGTCAGGGGTCTTAATGGTCAGGGTCTTAGTGGTCAGGATCTTAGTGGTCAGGGGTCTGTATAGCATTAATAGTCAGATAGAGTCTTTCTTCCCTCCTTCTTCCTCCTCCCCTTCCCTTTCCCCCTCTCTTCCTCCTTCTCTGTTTCACCACCTTCTCTTCTTCCTTCACCTCTCTCTACCCCCCCCTCCCCTCCTCCTCCCCTCCCCCACAAAAAGCCTCAGTGTTCGTTGTTTGAAACAGTGGGAAGTTTGAACACGGTCGAGACGACTAAGGTTCAGAAGCATTCCCCAACTGAAGCACTGTACCAGCTCTCTCTCTCTCTCTCTCTCTCTCTCTTTCTCTCCTCTCTTTCTCCATCACACTATCCTCGTCCTTTCCTCTCCCTCCCCCTCCCTCCCCCTCCCCTCACCTCCCACTCTCCCGTCACCCTCCCCCTCTCCCCTCCACCTCCCCCCCTCTCCCCTCCACCCCCCACTCTCCCCTCACCCTCCCCTCTCCTTACCCTCCCACCTCCCCTCCCCCCCCTCCCCTCCCCTCTCCCCTCCCCCATCACACTCTCCCGTCACCCTCCCCCCTCTCCCCTCACCCTCCCCCTCTCCCCCTCACCCTCCACTCTCCCTCACCCCTCCCCTCTCCCCTCCCCACCCCCTCCTCTCCCCTCACCCCTCCCCCCTCCCCTCACCCCACTCTCCCCTCACCCTCCCTCCCTTACCCTCCCCACCTCCCCTCACCCCCCCTCCCCTCCACTCTCCCCTCACCATCCCTCTCCGTCACCCTCCCCCCTCTCCCCTCACCCCTCCCTCTCCCTCCACCCCTCCCACTCTCCCTCCCTCCCCACCCCTCCCCTCACCCCCCTCCTCCCCCTCTCCCCTCCCTCCCCACTCTCCCGTCACCCTCCCCCTCTCCCCTCACCCCTCCCTCTCCCCTCACCCTCCCCCCTCTCCCCTCACCTCCCTCCCCTCTCCCCTCACCTCCCCTCACCCCTCCCCTCTCCCCTCACCTCCCCCCCCTCTCCCCTCACCATCCCCTCTCCCCTCCCCACCCCCTCCCACCTCTCCCCCTCCCCACCCCTCCCCCCTCTCCCCTCACCCCCACTCTCCCCTCCCCCACCCTCCCTCTCCCCTCCCACCCTCCCCTCTCCCCCACTCCCCCCTCTCCCCTCACCCCACTCTCCCCTCACCCTCCACACTCTCCTCACCCTCCCTCTCCCCTCACCCTCCCCCCTCTCCCCCTCACCTCCCCTCTCCCCTCCCTCCCCTCACCCCCTCCCTCTCCCCTCCTCTCCCCTCACCCCTCCACCTCTCCCTCCCCCTCCCCCCCCCCTCTCCCTCACCTCCCACTCTCCCTCACCCCTCCCCCCTCTCCCCTCACCCCTCCCCTCTCCCCCTCCACCCCTCCCCCTCTCCCCTCCCACCTCCCCTCTCCCCTCACTCTCCCCTCACCCCTCCCCCACTCTCCCCTCCTCTCCCCCTCCCTCCCTCCTCCCCACCTCCCCCTCTCCCCTCACCCTCCCTCTCCCCCTCACCCTCCCCCTCTCCCCCTCCCACCCTCCCCCACTCTCCCCTCACCCTCCCACACTCTCCCCCTCACCCCTCCCTCTCTCCCCTCCCTCTCCCTCACCCTCCCACTCTCCCCTCCCTCTCCCCTCACCTCCCCTCTCCCCTCACCCCTCCCCCCCCCCCTCACCTCCCCTCTCCCCTCCCCCCTCCCCTCTCCCCTCCCCACCCTCCCTCTCCCCTCCTCTCCCCTCCACTCTCCCAGCTGCGCTCTTCACCCCGAGGAAGCGATGAAGCAGAAACTGATCCACTGAAGAATGGCTGTGATCCTCTGTCTCTCTGTCTGTCTGTCTGTCTGTCTGTCTGTCTGTCTGTCTGTCTGTCTGTCTGTCTGTCTGTCTGTCTGCCTGTCTGTCTGTCTGTCTGTCTGTCTGTCTGTCTGTCTCTGTCTGCCTGTCTGTCTGTCTGTCTGTCTGTCTGTCTGTCTGTCTGTCTGTCTGTCTGCCTGTCTGTCTGTCTGTCTCTCTGTCTGTCTGTCTGTCTGCCTGTCCTGTCTGTCTGTCTGTCTGTCTGTCTGTCTGTCTCTCTGTCTGTCTGTCTGTCTGCCTGTCTGTCTGTCTGTCTGTCTGTCTGTCTGTCTGTCTCTCTGTCTGTCTGTCTGTCTGTCTGCCTGTCTGTCTGTCTGTCCTGTCTGTCTGTCTGTCTCTCTGTCTGTCTGTCTGTCTGTCTGCCTGTCTATCTGTCTGTCTATCTGTCTGTTTCTGGTTCTGTCTGTCTTTTTCTCTGTTTGTCTGTTGTCTGTCTTTGTTTGTGTTTTTGTTTGTCTGTTATCTGTTATTGTAGTTATCATTCACTACTACTACTGCCACCACTACTACTACTACTACTACTACTACTGCCACTACTACCAGCTCCCCTCCCCCCTTTATTATAAGCCATCATCGCTATAGACAGGCGACTCTTGTGTAGTTTCACTACATATCAATAGCTGGTCTGGCCTCCCCTCCCTCGGCCTAGCTTACTAGGTCAGTAAATCCTTTATCTTGTAGGGGATTCTTAGCATAATCCCTGGTATTGGTAACACTGATCGGTCAATCCCTTTATATTTGATGGGGATTTTGTCGCGTTAAGAGAACTCCCAGTGTTGCTTTGTCTGGGGATTTGTGAATTAAATCGTCTTTTTTCCGGTAATGGTCTGTGATTAATCCCTAACTCCCTCACCTCCCCTCCCCTCACCCCTCACTATCACCCCTCCCCATTCTTCCCTCCTCCCCTCTTCTTTCCTCACTCGTCTCCCTTAACTCCCCCCTCCCCCCTCCTCAGACCCCCTCACCCCCCTCCCCCTCCACCCTCAGGCGTTTATCCGAGGTCAAGGTGCCTTAGCAGGGTCACACAGGAGGGTTCACCACTGCCCACACGATACTACCTGTCCGGGCCAACACCGTGTTAACCCACACCTGTGAGAGAGAGAGAGAGAGACGTGTACTACCTATATGCAACACAATACTAAACAACAGGCGGTACATACAGTCGAATCTTCCACTCTTTACAATGGCAATTCTACCCTTATGATCTACGTCACCACTCACTACACTCGGGGCAATAAAACACTAACCCACGAACTATATACAGCTCAAAATCCCGTTATACACAGACACTATTTCGACTTTATTGTCACATGTTCACTTCACTTTACTCGGGGTAATAAAGTACCAAACCACGAGGGAAATATGGCAGGAAATCCTACTATTTGTATATGTCATTTCGAGCTTAATAACCACTGGTGCACCCTGATCCTCCAAGGGCACAATAACATGCTATACAACGAGGTCAATAAGGTCGGAAATCCCAGCTCCCACCAGACGACACTTTGACCTTTATGTATTCAGTACGACTTTCTTCAACTGCTGGAGGGGCAACAATATGCTAAACCACATGAGAAATACGGTCGGGAATCCTACATCTTTTGTATAGTAATTTGATTCTTATGTCTTCCCTTACACTTGTGTCGTTGTAGCACATAAGTTAAGGTAGTTGTGATGGGACAGTAAAGTGTTAAACCATAAGGTGTATACAGTGGAAACTCCTACTAGTAACATATGTTATTTTGACCCCTATGTCCAGCAGGTCACTAGTGGCCTTGTAACTCGTAGATATAGTCAGTAAAAACGGGACAGTAACTTGCTAAACCACGAGATAGTGAAGGTCGAGAATTCCACAGTATAGACACAGTGCACTGAACCTTATGTCCAGGAGGTCACTTGTGCCTTTGTAGCTCGTACACTCGAGATGTAAGAACATGACAATAACATGCTAAACCATAACATACATTAGGTGGAAAATCTCAGTACCTACAGATATCTTTTTCAGCCTTATGTTGTGTGGCTCTTGTGCCCCTGTAGCTCACAATAGTAGCGAGGATTTACCATAAGAGAAACAAAAGTCACATTGTATTTTCTCTCCGGGATTTTTGTCTCAGAAAGTTAGATTACACGAGACAGCGGTGTTGTATAGTGCTGTCTGGACTAAACTATTGTATTTTGTCCAGGACACAACTATTGCTGGACAAAACTGCCTCTGGATATAACCCAAAAGGTTCAAAGAAACATTGGACAAAATGACAGAGAATTGTCCTGAAAACCACACCGTGTATCTCAGGTGTGTGGTGGTAAGTTCCTCAGGTGTGTGTGGGGTTAAGTTCCTCAGGTGTGTGTGTGGGGGGTAAGTTCCTCAGGTGTGTGTGTGGGGTAAGTTCCTCAGGTGTGTGGAATCCTCAGGTGTGTGGGGCAAGTTCCTCAGGTGTGTGTGGGGGTAAGTTCCTCAGGTGTGTGTGTGTGTGTGGGGTAAGTTCCTCAGGTGTGTGTGTGTGGGGGAATGTCCTCAGGTGTGTGTGTGTGGGGGTAAGTCCTCAGGTGTGTGTGTGGGGGGTAAGTTCCTCAGGTGTGTGTGGGGTAAGTTCCTCAGGTGTGTGTGTGGGGAGGTGTGTGTGGAGAGG